GGGGGGGGGAGCTGGCGACCGACACTAAGCCGAAATTAGGTGGCAAAAACAGCTTCCCTGCGCCCGCCGACCGAGCGGGCGCGCGTTTCTGAGTCCGCGCGGACCGCTCGCCGTCGTGGCGTGGCCGGGGCCGGAGGCCGAGTCCGAGAGCTTCACCCTGCTCCCGAACATACTCCGCTTCGCCACCCTTATTCCCCCCTCTCCTTCTCAGCAAACGCAAACGAACCAAAACTTTTTGCTGGCTGCTCGCAAATCCCATCCACAGGCCGCCCGCGCCGTGTCACAACGCACTGCTGCTTTGCTCGCAAGTGCGTTACTCGTGCGTTACCACCTTTTCGTTACGCGTTTAGAGTCGGGGTCAAGGCGACACGACACGAGCCAGGTCGTACCCTTTATTACTCTGACACTCCCTGTTGTGCGTTACTCGTGCGTTACCCTGCGTTACTCTGTGTCACTCTGTGTTACTCTGTGTTGCTCTCTGTTACTCTTGCGTTACTCGTGCGTCACTCGTGCGTCACTCGTGCGTCACTCGTGCGTCACTCGTGCGCGTTACTGCCTCTTCGTTACGCGTTTGGAGCCGCGGTGGTGGGCGGGGCGACACGACGACACGAGCGCCAGGCCGTGCCCTTCATTACTCTCACAATGCCTCGAGTGTCACAACTTTTAACACCCTTCATTAATTTTCAAGTGAAGTGGATGCGGCTTCCCCCTCTCTCTCTCTCCCTCTCTCCCTCTCCCTCTCCCTCTCTCCTCGCTCTCCGACCCCCGTCGTTCCGTGTCCCGCCGCATAGCTGCGGGTGCGTCCGAAACGGCCTTACGAGTGGACCGCTGTGACGGACGCGGACGACGCGGTCCTCCGAGGGGGGGCCTCCGAACAACGTCGTGCCGCGGCGCAGAGTGCTGCTTGCGCTCGCGAGTTTATTCGCTCCCCACGGAGCCGTAGCGCCGTAGCGGGGGGGCTGCATATGTGGCGTTGTCCGCGCGAAAAACAACTACAGTGTCAAATGTTATCGGTCGCCCTACTACGTCGCGTCGAGGGGATGAAAACCTTTGTTGAAATCGTACTAAAAAAAAGGAGAAAACACTCGTGTTGTAAGTATTGTACTCTGTTTCTCGCGAATTTTATACCCGCGTGTAGAGTCGTTCTAACCAAACATTTCAGCGAGTTCTGTGTTGTTTTGGCAGAGCGCCACGAAGGCGTAGGCCGATGACCGCTTTTTCCTCCAGACGCTGCCCCTCCCGCCTCCACCCCCTCCATCCCCCTATCATCCCCAGCCTCCTCACATCACTGGACAGTCTAGTGGGAAAGCCTCCCCCCCCCCTTAATCCCTAACCGATCCCTAATCAATCCAGTTTGTCTCATTAAACTTGGCCAGCCTTCCAACTCTTTGGCTCCCCGAGGGCTTCGCAACCCTCGCCCGTCTCGCTGCGAGCCCTGCTCCGCCCGGCACGCCCGAGCACGCCTCGCCGGGCCCTCCGGGCCTCGCAATGGGGCCCCACCTGGTGCGAGAGAGGTCGGACGGATTGGGGTCGGGCTCCGCACTCACCTCTGCTGAACTGGTTGTAGTTGTGGATGACGCGCTCCGCGTTCTTCCTCGCGATGTAGAACCACTCGGACGAGTTGCCCAGGTACTTGTACTCGACGGCGAGGTCCTTGACGAGGATGGGCCCGTCCGGGAGGCGGTAGGCGAACGGGCAGAAGAGCTCGTAGTCCTTGTACTGGTAGGCGTCGTAGCAGTTGCCCGCCGCGAAGATGTCGTCGTCGAACTCGACCATGGCGAACACGGCGGCGTGCAGCAGGTACTCCGAGTGCAGCACCTCTGCGCCCGCGTACTTCCACAGGCGGGTGAGCATGTTGGCGCGGTTCACGGCCACGTCCGCCTCCACGCGGAAGCGCTCCTGGAAACATCAGTTTCATAGAATTAGTTTTGACCTGAATTTCATGTCTACATTTCCGGGAGCGAAAACCTTCCTCATCACATCCCCTATGTCCTATTTTTTATTTGGCACAAAAAGGGAGGAAGGCGGCAGGGGATAATGGTATGGGTGCTTAATAATATTTGGAGTGGGTGGGGGGCAGTCAAACAGGAAGATCCGGCTCTCACCTTTCTCCAAAGTCAAACAGAAACGATGCCTTCATTCATTTCAACACCCGGCCTCCGCCTGGTCCCGGTTCCGCCCCGCTCTGCCCCGCTCGTGTGTGAGTTTCACTTTTGGTCCTCCGTTCGCCTCTCTCCAAAAGGGCTGTAGGCTCTCTAGGGGGGGTAGTGGAGAAGAAAGGTGGGGAGAAGAAGAAGAGGGGCCAGGCGCCAGGCATCAGGGTTGATGAGTTGGCGATTCGATGAGACAGATTTTATTTTTTGTTGTCGGGGGGAGCGCGGGGGTGGGGCTCGGCCTAGGGGCTCGGCCTAGGCCT